ACAAACAAACAAATGCTCCCCACATTACCCATTTTCTGTCTTTGCAAAAGCATAGTGTTCAAACACACAGGCATTTCTGAGATAAGCTTTAACCTCTACAGCAGTGGTTCTCAACCTTCCTAATGCCGCCCTTTAATGCAAGACCCCTCACCATAAAATTATCTTGTTGCTACTTTGTAACTGTAATTTTGCTACTACTACAAATCATAATATGAATATCTTATATACGGGATATCTGATCTGCAACCCCTTGGAAAGGGTCATTCAACCCCCAAAGGGTCGTGGCCCACAGGCTGAGAACTGTTGTCTCTAGCATGAGTTCTAGTTGGTTTTAATAATAAAATACCAAGTTTTTATTATTTTATTTATTATTTTATTATAGGGGTTAATGTTAACAATCAGAGAAGCAGAGAGGCCAGACACTAGAGAATTCTTTTACCTCTGTCAATGCTCAGACCAAAGGGGCAATCCTGTCCTCAAACTGCATCTGTCTCCACCAAACCTCAGACTGCACTGAGCTCCTGTCTCCTTCCTCCTTATTATATTCCTTTCTCTGCCCGGTCATATCACTCCTGTGTCGACCTCCCTAGTGCTGAGATTAAAGGCATAAGATCCCAAGTGCTGGGATCACCTTTGTGCGAGCTCTGTTTCTCTTTTAGATAGATTCAATCTTGTGTAGCCCAGGGTGACCTTGAACTAACAGAGATCCCTCTGCCTCTGTCTTTTGAGTCCTGGATTAAAGGTGTGTGCCTCTAGTGGCTTAACTCTGCACTCTGATCTTCAGGCAGGCTTCATTCATAAACAAACTATCACTACAGCTGTCTAGGAAAGTATTAACACGAGAAAGCATCCCTTTCAAGAACTGGGAAGTTGTTTTCTTTGTTCTTCCCCGTCAGACCTCAGCAGTGAACCTCAGACACAGGTGCGGAGATGGAATATGATCAGACAGACAAGACAGGACACATTGAGCAAGTGGCCATGGCTCTTGGCATCCACAGGTCTCCAATCTAAAGGATAAATAACGAGCCAACATCAGCTGCAGGAAGTTAGGCAGACAGGCGTTTGCTGTTGGAAATCTGAGTTCTGCAATCAGGTGAGCTGTGTTTGCTTTGGAAGAGGCTTAACTGTAGGCGTCTCCCTCAGGGACTGTAATCTGCACCTGCATCTTACTGTGAGGCCAAAGACACTAGAGTTTCTCAAAGTCCCAGGGTTTGCTAGATGATTGTTCAATATGGACTAAAAACAAACACGGAGCAACTGACTCCAATTGGTCCCAGGCGGAATTTGTTTAGGTTTACTGCTGGAGAAGCACTGAACAAGGTCAGAAGGATAAAATGTATCCCTGCTTCCTAGTAGCATCATTGTTGGTCCAACTTTGCATCTCCACATCTTACTAAGCCCTGTATGGGGAATCTGATTCTGCGAAGATTTTCTTACTGTTTGATCTGTTCCTTCTTTTTTTCAGAGATAAAACATTTTCTGATAACCATAGATAGATTAGCATCTGTCTGGAGCTTTTGAAGTACTATGGGTAGAGATGGGAAAACACAGACCGTTTGGTTTGCTAGAAGTTTATTTGAGAGACTTACATCCCCTCTCACCCTGGGCTAAGGGCTTTGCTAACACTAGATTGACAGTGCCACATGTTAACCTTCAACAACTTAATGGGTTATTTATTTTTACTGTAAGTTTCAGAAAAATTGTTCTGTCAAGATATCAGTAGGAGTAACCAGACTTATCAAGAAACAGTGTGTTTGTTTGGTTATAACCGGAGGCACTGGCAGATGTGTGTGTGTTGGTAAAACCTGTTTCACAAGTGGATTTCATTCTATTTGGGACCATATATGATTCAAATGAATCACTACAAATACTTTCTAGATCCTCTCAAACCACAAGTCAAGTTATTACTAACATTTCAAAATTATATGTTATTAGAAATGTTTGTGCAATAAAAGTGATGGCTACCTATTGAATGCACCATAGAAACTACTGGTCCAATATTTGAGGTTTAAGTGTGACTTCTTCCAAAGTTTACTTTAAAACTTTGGAGAAGTTTATGTTAAAACTAGGAGAAAAAATTCAAACACACCCAAACCTTGTCCTTATCTGCCTTGACGTGAATGGTTTCATTGAACCATGCTGTCTCTGCCAGGCCCCCTTTTTATACATGGTTATTCATACAGTGTCCTAAGTAATCATAGAACTGAATCAAGATTTCCAAGTGTGTTGGGTGGGGGATGTGTCTTGGTTTGACTCATCAATGTAAGATTATTCTGGTCTTAAATAGAACCACCACGCTTGCTCTGGCAGACACAAATAACTGTTAGATGTTACCAAAGCCCGGGGCAGGCAGTATGGTAACCCTAACAGGAACGGTCCTGGCTTAAAGTCTGCAGTGACCTCTATAAACATGGTTCAGTTGATGACTCAGCTACTGCACAAACAAACAACCACACAACCAAACAAACATGCTTGTTTTAGAGACAGCTAACAAGATAACGAGGTGAGCATTAGTGCTGTTGCTGCTCAGGAAACTATCCCAGACTCCACAGGGTTACAATAGGGACTAATCCTTGCTTGAGAGCTTATCGGGCAACGGTAGGGTTCTATTCCCTGTGGCTAGGCTACCACATGCATTCTCGGTCAGCCGGAGTTCCTTCACAGGCTGCTTTTCTGGTGTAGGGTTAGAGTTACTCACGGCTTTAGAGCCTAGTTGAGAAGGCTAGAATGACTCAGCTATGTCCCGTGTCTCTTTCTGCAGCAGGCTAGCATGTGTTTGTTCAGAGGGCAGTCACAGGGCGCGGAGAGACAGCCTCGGAACAGCTTGAACGTATATATATTTATATACATACATACATATAGTTTAAAATAATATAGAATTTAAAACTATATATCCATATATGTATACGTGTGTGTGTGTGTGTGTGTGTGTGTGTGTGTACTTACACATTTGGTCATACACAGCATATCCCAAGGCTGACCCTTTTTCAAGGGGGTAGACAATAGATTCCATTTTTTTTTTGTGGCTAGGCACTAAAAGTTACATTGCAAAGGGAAGTCAGGGCACAGTGTTTTGTCGTGTCCTCCACTAACATCAGAGTACACAAGAAATGAAAAGGGTTGGTTTATAAATCAACCTTTTCTGCTTCCTTTAAACTTCAGATTTGAAGTTTGTCCTTTGATTCTTTTGGTAGCACAGGTATGAGAGGAAAGAGAGAGAGACTCTGTGTGTGTGTGTGTGTGTGTGTGTGTGTGTGTGTATGTGCCTGAATGTGTGAGTCCATGCTTTGCATGCATGTGTTTCTGAGTGTGTGCATGTATACGTGCTTGTATTTGTGTGAGTGTGTGTCTGTGTGTGTGTGTGCATGTGTGTTTGCATGTAATGAGATAGATCATAGACTCCTGAGGTTGACCTTCAGGAACCCAGGACAAGAGTGGACGGTCCATTCAGAGCTCTGCCATTGGGATTAATGCTTCCTGGAGAAAGAATGCAATTGGCCTCTGGATTGGCACCCAAACCTTTGCCACGGGAGCTCCAGGTTCTTTGACTCTGAATTGGTTTCACCAAGGCTACACACAGGAGGCCAAACAATTCCTTAAAGTCAGGCAGAGTCCTCTGCCAGACAGAGGGAATTTGAGGCAGGCAAATGGACTAGTATCCCCTACAGAACTTCAATAATTCAATCCATACACAATAAAATCTAATTGCAACTTAAGTCAGCTCCTAGTGGGCAGAGGGAATCAGTGGTCATTCCCGCTCCGACCGTTCCTCTCCGTGAAGAACACTAGAAAAGGTCTAGAGGCGAAGGACACAGGTTATACAGACAGTGTGATGACTCTAGCGTGGCTCTCATTTGCTCAATGACACTGACAATTTGCTTCTTTAACTCATGTCTGCCCTGCCCTAATCAAAGTCAGCCTACAGACAGACGCATGACTCCAGGAGCATGGGGATGCACCCGCGAGAGGAGGTTCGTAAAAGTTAAAAATGCTTCTAGTTGCTGGTGACTTTGCCTTTATTCTAGTTATTGGTCTTCATTGATACAAAAGATGTTCTTGGGGTGGACCAGCTACTTAGAATTCTTCAAGGTCCCCAGCCTCATTCTTTTCCACAGCTCTGTTCTCAGTGACAACTTGTGGCTACACATAGTCCCCACCATTATGTCCTCACAGGACAGCGTTTATAGCAGCACAGAGAGAACACACACACACACACACACACACACACAAATCCTTAAATGGCCTGCCTCTCTGCACATAGCATCCTTGAGCATCCCTGAGTAGGCTTCCCAGTTACATCCTACTGACTGAAGCATGACTACCTTCAGCCAATCACTATGGGAAGGGAACGAGATGACACCCATGGGTTCATACCCATTTCAGTTCAACCTCCATGCTGGGCACACCATGGAGTGTCATGTGTATGACATTTATGGTCTCTGGTCTTTCTTTGAATTTCAACCAGAGCTGGAGTGAGGGTTGGCTCCTTGGAGCATGTGACCGCTCATTTAAGAAGGGCTGATGCCACCTTGAAATTCTTAATAATTTATAGACCAAGAGGCCACCTCTTCAGTTTGCATTTAACTCTGCATTGCCAACTTTCAGCTGGTCCTGGCTGACCTTTTCTTGCTTCCTTTTCAAGCAGCTGCTTTATCTCCTTCACTTTCCTGAAGCAACATGTACCAGTGGGTGCTGAATCAGCCAGTGGACAGATCGGTTCAGAAAGAAAAATCTGCCCTGGGCAGGATGGAAAGCAGCAAGAAAATGCTTCTGCATCCCAACCATCAAGGTCCTCTGCACATTTCCTGGAAGGCCCAGGGGAATGAGGGGGAGGGGGTCCAGGTCACAGTGGTCACCCTGATAATCCATCCTCCTCTGATCTACTTTCCCTGGGTCGACTCACACGTAAACATGCACACATCAGTCTCATCTCAGATTCAGCCTTCAGGGAGTCCAATGCTCCAACACTCTGTGAATAAAATCCAGGCTTCTTTCTATAAGGAAGGCTATGTAACTGTTTACTCATCAATAAGTTGTTGATACATCATCAGTTGTGTTGCTTATGGCCCGAGAAGGAGAATCCATTTCAGAGCTGATATTCCTGGCTTCCAAATCAGATACAGCGTCTGCTGAATGCCCACTGTGTCCCAAGCATGGTGCTGTTTCCCATGATGCTCTCTCGTGTTAGTTACACAACAGCATCTTCCCAATGTCTCCATCTGCAAGACCAGCACAGCAAAGATCAGAGCCATGAGGGGCTTCCCAGGGACAGGAAATAGACATAGATATTTTAAAAATTAAGATCTATTTTGTCTTAATTTTAATTATTTTTTATGTACGAGTATTTTGTCTACATGCGTGTTTATGAACCTTGGAGTCTCTGGGACTGAAATGACAGGCAATTGTGAATTGACCTGAGGGTTCTGGGGATCAAACTTAGGTTCTCTGGAAGAGCAGCCAGTGCTCTTAGCTACTGAGCCATCTCTCCAGTCCACAGATATAGAATTTTAATGAGAGTTCTCTGGATGTAATTCCTGCAACAGCATCATGACAAAAAGAATACTTGAGTATAGGCTGAGAGGTTGGCCCTAAGCCTGTGTCTCTCATACAGGACCAAGCTCCTCCTGAAGAGCACCCGGTAAGCAGGAAAGCCAGCAGCGAAGCAGGCTGTCCTCTGGGCTTTTGAATATTGTATAAAAGTTTCCTTCAGTGTTTCAGGGTTGTGGCCACAGCCCGGCTTATAAATTTTCTTTCAACCCAGAGCAACCAGGCCCTGGCATTTTCCAAGCCAGGCTAGACAGATGGTTCTATTTTGCTTTGTCACTTTAAAGGGAGTACTCTACCCTTTTGCAGACTCAGTGCTGGAGGCAGCCTACACTTGGAGACTGTTCTGGATAACGAGGTCAGCAAACATTGGAGGAGACAGACCACAGACTACAGGGACACCACTGTCTTTTTCCAGGGCAAGCCGGTGAAAGAAACCAGACGTTGGTCCAGACAACGACGTCAATGATTGAAGCTGAATTGGGAAAGGGTGCCAGGGCCTGGCTAGCAGTCAGCGACATGGCTGAAGAAGACCATAACGTCATTATTCTCAAAGGATTTATTTAGTACATGGTATGTGAGGTGTGATCCTCCTCTGTGGAAAACACGGACTGGAAACTTACTAAGTTGTCAGCACAGGAAAAATGAAATTGAGTGACAAATTAATAAATTATGCATATAACACTTCCAATAGAGACATTCCAATTTATGTTTGTTATATCCATAAATTTTCTCAGGGTTCATGGGATAAAATTTGGTGTGTCACTAACTCCTGCTGATACCAATCTCCCCAAGATTTTCCTCTTAGTTGATAAGACATTAACAAAATGCTCTCAAACCTTTCGCGGCTCTTATCTTCCATCAATAGGAAACTGTACCTGTATCTCCTATATACTAGAAATTATATTGCTATATTGTTTCATTGATGTTATATATAATGTGGGGCTGGGGATGTAATTCAGTTGTTAGAGTGCTTGCCTAACATGAGAAAGCCCTGGCTGCAGCCTCCAGCAATGCATAAAATTATTTATATATGCTTTAATTATAGTGCTCAAGAGGTAGTGGCAAAAGAACCCGAAGTTTAAGGTCACCCTTAGGTATACAGTCAGCTTGTGGTCAGCCTTGGCTACTTGAGACTCTGACTGAAATAAAATAAATAATAAGTAAAATGACAATAGTTTATGTATACTGGAGACAGGCTACGTTTAAAGGATAGGATAAATATTATACCATCTTATAAGCACATTTAAATTAGGGTCAGCACAAATATCTCTGCTTTAGTATATAGTAACATGATAAAGTAGACTTCTCTAAAAAAATCAATTTTGGGTTCAAAGGTTTGGATCATTTTGGTTTATTTTAATATCATTTTTTATTTTATTGAGGATTTATATCAGTGGCTTTTGCGATACTCACAAAGTTATGCCCCCATTATCACTACCTAATTTTACAGTATTTTTTCTTATCCTCAGAAAAAGCCCCCACTCTTTAGTAGACCCCAAACTCCCTTCCACTCTCAGCCTCTAGTGACCAGTAATCATTTCTGTCTCCATGGGCTTGCTGGACATTTCATGTCAGTGGAATGATCCAGATGTGTCTTGCTTCTTTAATGTTCTATTGCGCTGTATCTGTGTTGTAGCAGCGTGTGTCTGTAATTCATTCCTCTTTATGGCCGACAATGTTCCAGTGAACGGATAGGCCATATGTTCTTTGCCTCTTAATCAATTGATGGATATTTGGGCTGCTTCTGCTTTGGGCCTATAAAGAATAATTGTGACTTAAGTATTTCTGTTCTATATTTTTGGGCCTTTGTTTTCCCTTATTTTATGAAGAGTGGCATTGCTAGCTTGTGCACTAATTGAGTGTTTAATCAATTAAGGAACTGCCACACTTTTTGCAAAGTGACTGCAACATTTTGTAAACTCCTGTCCCCCATGTATGAGGGTTCCAGTTTCTCCAAATCCATGTCAACATTTGTCATTATCTATTTGATTATTGTCATCTTGATGGTTGTGAATGTTATCTCACTGTGGTTTTATGTACATTTCTCAAATTACTAAAGACCTTGAGAAACTTATCATGTTTCCGGAAGTTTGTTTAGCATCTTTGGTTAAATGTTTTCTCAAATTCTTTGTATAATTTTTGGTTGCGTACTTTTCCTACTATTGAGTAGTTAGAGTTGTTTATATAGTCTCTAGTTTGGATACTAGGCCTTATCAGAAATGATTTACGCTGCCCTGTGGCTTTTTACTTTCTTCATGGTGGCCTTTAAAGCACTACCAACCTTTTTAAATTATTTTATTTGTGTGTGTAAGTATTTTGTTTACATATATGTCTACACACTATGTATGTGTCTGGTGTCCTCAGAGGCCAGAAAAGGGCATTGAGTCTCCTGGAACTGGAGTTGCAGATGGTTGTTAGCTACCATGTTTGTACTGGGAACTAAACCTGGGTCCTCTAGAAGAGGAACCCCTGCTTTGAACTTCTGAGCCATCTCTCTAACCACACTCTTTCTTAGAAATTTTCACATTTGTTTGAGACAGGGTCTTGTTATCTATCATGGCTTTCATGCTACTGCTTGTTGTACGGCCTTCAACTTGTAGCAATCCTCCTGCTTCAGCCTCCTAAGTGCTGGGATTAAAGATGTGTGATATGGGAAAATTACTTTGTAAGTTAATTTTTGGAAATACTTTCATCCTTCTGAAGTTTTGTTGCTAAAAGCATAAAAATGGTAACTTTTGTTGTTTTAAATCTTATACAGGAATATAATAAATAGTAACAAGACACCTACTCATTTCCTTCTTTCCAAACAAAAAATGTAAAGTAACTACCTGTTGTGTATAGCTTCCCAAATCATGTTAGAAACGTTCCATATGAAAAAGGCAAAATTTAAAATGGAAGTAATTATTTTTATTTAAAGAAAAGTTTCCCTTTATACCTTGTCCTTTGGATATTCAGTTACTTTCTGTGGAGAGACAGTGAATGTAGAAGACCAATATGGTTTAAAAAAAAAAAAGTACTCAGAATGTGGCCAAAAAGATCAAGAGATGAGGAAAATAAAAAAGAGTGAGGTATGGAGGTTTGTATTTCTAGAATGAAGTTTAGAGGGAAGGACAACATGAAATAGTCAAAGAAATAACAGTTGAAAGCTTGTCAGGACTATGATGAGTCAGACATAAAAGCCCAATAAATAAATCCCAAGCAGCAAAAACAAAACAAAACAAAAACAAAAACAAAAACAAAGAAAGAAAAGGCTTTCTCCGAGTGTGGGAAATGGTCCTTATCTTTATTTTAGGGTGTTTCAAAAAGATACACAATTCTAAATTCATCAAATGTACGTGAAGGAATTTCCTTATGTGCAAATAATGCTGCTATGGCTCCAACGTTTGTGTCCCTCCAGCCTTCTGGGTTGAGATCCTAACTCTGAAGGTGAATGTAAGCGGTGGACTCTTCCACAGAATGAGACCGAGTACTCAGAGGACAGTGACCAGAGCCCCTAACCATTCAGAGTCAAGGGCCCATCTGGCAGCCCCTGCGGAGCTCTGTCCCCAGGGGTCACGACTCCTACGCATCAAATTAAAAATATAATTTTTTTAGAAAAAGGAAAAAGAAGTGTTCTAGTGACACAATTTTTGGACACATACAAGGAAGAGGGAACTTTTAATCAGAGGGACAAAGAGCCACGGGAAAATGGTCATTTTTAGCCTGCTAAAAACACGAAAAATTTTCCAAGAGCAGAATTTCCTGATGAAGATCCAGTTTCTTTGTGAATCAGACCTACAGAAAGGGCTCTGCTTGTGAGTCAGGAGGTTCTTAAAAGTTCAGGAAACTCTGCTCCCTGAGAGGGAGACCTGATGTTCCAGGAGGTGGGCTGGCCTCAGGTAGTTAAAGGGAGGTTCTCAGAACTGAGCCAGTTCCACGACTTCTAATCCTGTATCCCCATTGTCTCACAGAACCTGATATTATTTTGCACCCCGAGGCCTGTACACAAGCCAGTGGAGCTGACTGGGTTTCTAGGGAGCCCTGGTGCTGAGGTGAGGGGCATGTGACAACCCTCTTGGAAAGCCTTTTGGGGAGATAATAACAGAGGGCAGGGCGGAGGCAGACAACCGAGGGTAGCATTTGGCGTGTGACTACTGTCCTTTTAAAGAGATACTGTCTCCTGCCTATATCTGTTATTTTTTTTAAGATTCCTTTATTTTTACGTTCATTGGTGTTTTGCCTGTATGTCCGTCTGTGTGAGGATGCCAGATCCCCTGGAACTGGAGTTATAGACAGCTGTGGAGCTGCCATGTGAGTGCCGGGAACTGAACCCAGGGCCTCTGGAAGAGCAGCCAGTGCTCTTCACTGCTAAGCCATCTCTCCAGTCCCCTACATTTGTTATTTTTAACAAACGTAGATGAGAAACTAAGAAGGGCTTTCTTGAAAGGCAGAAGGCTGGAGCTGGGACAAGCGCACTCCTAGAACTCAGTCCTGAGCTGCACGTGAGTGAAAGCCCAGGTCAGTAGACAAACTCAGGAAAATCTACAAGTATGTAAATAAACAAAACACAAAAACAAAGTCCCTGACAATTGAGGAAGGGAAACAGTGAGGCGCCTTGGCTCTGAATGATCCGATGAAGAAAGAACAGAGGTATGGGTGGGGCGAGAGGAGAGGAATGGGCGACTAATTCCAATGCCATGCCTGAAAGTGGGGAGGAGATGATAGCCTTGTCATAGGAAATGAACCAGAAGCCCCATTACTGTGGCTGGTATATGACGCAGGAGCCCGCGGGACACAGGACTCTTGAATACCATCGTGATCATGCGTAAAGCTGAACCGATTGCTGGCAGGCAGACCTAGTGGGGCAAAGGGGTCCCTAGCCAAGCCGATCCACAAGGGCCTCCTGAATAAGGGCAGAGGCAACTTCCTGGCTTTTAATCCTAGGCCACTTGCCGGATTTACAATCACAAGCACGTTCAAGCCCATGGGTGATTGTAACGACTTTCCGAAGTTCTTATAATAAATAAAATGGTATTTCCAAGTACTTAATGGGAATACATACACACAGTAGGCCCACAGCTATGTTGTCAACAAGGCTAGGCTAACTAAGAAACAGCCCAGACGGTACATTTCTGTTTCTAAACAACCCTCTCAGCTACCGAATTCTAGGGGAGCAGTTTCAATAATTTTATAACCTACAGACAACTTTACAATGCAAAATAGTTCCAAACTGCACATCATAAATTCCTTCCTGTCTGAAGGAGTTTCAGCCCACTTCCCCTTCTTACTTCTTTTGAGATATGTTCTTTATTTATAAATAGAGACACTCCTGGAATATGTAGGATCAGGGAAAATGTTTTCCAATACTTATTAATTTTAAGAATTTCATAAATGGGTGTTGTATTTTCACTGTTTCCATCCTATACCCTCTCCAACTCCTCCCATGCCCCTCACCCCTCTCAACTCCATGACCTGTTCTTTACATGCATACATATGTATATATACATACAACCTGCTGAGTCCATTTATTGTTGTTCATATGTTTATGTATTTTGGATGATCATGTAGGCTTGGGTAGTCTATTAGGGGCTCATCCCTAGAGAAGACCAATTCTCCATCTTAGCAGTCATTGATTACCTATAGCTCTTTTAACCATCCTTCAGTCCTTTCTTCTTTAATGCTCTCTGAGTCTTAGGTGCAGGAGATACATCAGTGTAGATGTATCAGTTGTAGTTGGGCACCACACAATCTTTTGTTCAAAGCAGTTTGACCAGTTGTGGTTTTCTGTAATGGTCTCTGACCATTGCAAAGAGAAATTTCTTTGTTGCAGGTGGGAGCAACACTCGTCCATGGGCATAGGGATACATATTTAGAATGTCATGGGCAATTATTCTGGCTGTATAAAGTGATGGTAGAGGGTTCTCCTCCAGGATTCACGACCTCACTAGCCCTAGGTAGTTGGCTCGGTTTCCAGTACCCAACGTGATCTCCCTCTTACTGAGCAGGGCCTTAAATCTAATTTAGACAGCTGTTGGTTACTGCCAAGACATGAGTGCCACTATTGCAACTCTAGGGTTATCATGCCATGCTAGTTGTTATTGTGGTTCTATCATAGGCATCAAGCTTCTGTGACAACTTCTAGTACCATGAAAACTAAACCTCAGAGAGGAAGGAAGCTCTTGGGTTGGACCCCAGGTCAGATCCTCTGGGTCTTGTGCCAGCACACATGTGTCTTCAGGAATAGGGACTTACCTTCAACCTCCGGGAGACAACTGAGGGCAATAGCAATAACCTCTAACATTTGGGAAGTTTCTTGGATTCCCCTGATCAACAATTTGAAAGGGGATTTTTCATGTTTGGAATTGGGGTCTTTGTTAGCTACTCTATGGCTTTTAGAGGGAGCATTGTCAGTCTAGGTGGGAGAATTTCAATTGCCTATAGGGGTGGGACCGAGATCTAGGGGAAACTATTTTTATATGAACTATCTGAGGTTTATTTTAGATGGATGACAGAACCTGAGAAAGAGCAACCCAGTCCACCCCCGACTCTGTGAGTGTGTATGAGTGTGTCTGTACATGTCTACATACACCTGAGGATGACAGAGGTTTACAGAAGGTGTCTTTCTCAATTGCTCTTCTCCTTACTCTTTCAGAGTCTCTCACTAAACCTGGAACTTGTAGATTTGGCTAGACTGGCTAGCAAGCAAGCCTGGGGTGCTCCTGCCTCTGTCTCCCCAAAACTGAGATTACAGGTGCAAGCTATGGCAGCAGAGTTCAGCTCAGATCTTGAACACCGTCTCCCTAGCTCCCCGCCCCCAACCTGGCTACACTGCTTGAATTGGGTCAGGGTCTGCACTTCCTAGAAGCATCTTGTCAACCTCACACACAAGGAATAGAGAACAGAGAAAAGGAAGTTGAGTTCAACTGGGCTCCAGTCTGAGTACGAGACTGAGAGAAACCTTGAGGGCAGTGCTTCAGAGTGTGGGGTTTTAGAAGGACAGAGTTGGGACAGGTCTCTCAGACATTTGCATCAACAAGATACGGCACTGTCACCAAGACAATGTTTCTGCCGAAATTGTTCACTGTGAGTGTTAATCGAGTTCTAACATAGCGTGTCCCTGCATTTGGGAATTTAGCAAATGTGTGCTTTTTAAACTAAACAGCTGAGTTGTGGTAGTATTTTGTGTGTGCGCTAACAAATAAAGCTTGCCTGGAGATCAGAGAGTGGAGCTAGCCGCTAGTTAACCGTAGAGGCCAGGCAGTAGTGGCACACGCTTTTTAATCCCAGCACGTGGAATCTCATGCCTTTGGTCCCAGTTCTTGGGAGACACATGCCTTTAATCCCAGCACGAGGGAGGAGGAAACAGGAAGCAATATAGCTGGAGGGAGAGACGAGTATACGGTGGGTGGAGGCAGGAACAGGGCCCCTTTCAGGCTGAGGAGCTGGCGAGGTTATAATTGGCTTGGCTTATTCCTTTGTCTCTCTGATCTCTCAGCATTTACCCTGATATCTGACTCTGAGTTTTTATTATTAAGACCAATTAGAATTTGTGCTCCACTGAGTGGAACTTTTTTAAAAAATCTCTATAAAGAAATTCATCTTCTCTAATCCTTAGAGTAGTTAACTCTGGACAGCTTTCAGTTAAATACACTAGAACCTTTCATACCGGCAAAGTCTGCTCCTAGAATATTTTCCCACCTAGAAGATCAAATTCTCCCCCCCCAAAAAAAAATGGCTTCCCTGCCTGCAGACTTCCATTTCTAAGAAGGGTTTTATTTCTGCCTTGAAAAAGAGTAGTCATCCTTCAAATTTACCAGTCCAGGGCAAATGATATTTCCCTGACAAGCCTGTCGGATGCCGTCTGCACACAAGCCTCTGTGCGGCTCTCCACAGCGTTATCTTGTTTCCAGTCAAGATCGTATACTCTGTGGTACTGAGTAGATTTTGCACTCCTGCCCCGACTCAGGGTGCTTTCCCTACTGCTGTCTAGAGGTCTGATCCTGTCAGCAAACCCCTGCCCTGCAACCCTCACCCTCCCGCACATATTGGATATTGGATAAGCTCCCCCCCACCCCCGTCCATTTGCTGGTGTTGACAGTGATTTTGTTTTCTCTGAAATGTCCTTGCCATCCCTTCCAGTCCTTTGCTGCCACTGTAAGGGATAAATAAGCACCGGCTATCCCAAAGCTTGGTTGCAATAACACCTTTTCCAAGAAACCTGCTTTGAAACCTGGTAGAGTTGGCTGGGAACCTATTGACCTCTAGGGTTCTCTCACCGTAGTAGAGATTGTTGCTTTGTTTGTTTTTCCAGTTTGGTTTTTTTTTTTCTAAAACAAAGAAATCAAAATATTCTTCTTCAATCCCAGGTTTTTTATTTTTAGTCAGTATACAAAGTAGTGAATTTCTTTCTGGAATTTTCATGTCTACTTTGTTACTCATGCCCTCCCCCCTATCCCCTTGCGGTTCTCTCCCTCTCGTCCCATGCCCTACCCCTTCTGCTTTCCTGTCACATGCATTCCATCACACACACCCTCACTTAAGTTCTCTTCTTCCCCTCTCTTGGTCCCCTTTCTAGCTTCATGACTTAAACTCAGACCCAGAGCCACACACTAAAATCTGGGATCCGTATATGAGAGACAACGTGTGGTGTTTATCTTTATAGCATGGTTTATTTCACTTACCATAATGACTTCCAGCTTGTCCATTTTATTGCAGATGTCTTGATTTCATTTTCCTCCTAAATTGAAGAGAAGTTAAATATTTTCATAGGCTCCTGTGCTGGTTAGCTTTAATGCCACTTGACACGAGCTAGAGTCATGCGAGAGGAGGGAATCTCATTTGAGAAGGTATCTCCATAAACTTGGACTGTAGGCCAGCCTGTGAGACATTTTCTTAATTAATGATTGATCCACAATGGGCCGGGCCACCCCTGGGCTGGTGGTTCTGAGCTCTATAAGAAAGCAGGCTGAGCAATCTCTAAGGAGTAAGTCAGTAAGCAGCACCCCTCCATAGCCTCTGCATCAGCGCCTGCCTCCAGATTCTGGCTTGAATCCCATCCCTGACTTCAATGGATAATGAACAGTGATTTGGAGGTATAACCAAAATACACCCTTTCCTCCCCGAGTTGCTTTTGGTCATGGTGTTTCATTACAGAAATAGTCACCCTGACTGAGACAGTCCCTAAAACTACTGTGTGTTGTAGGCCTGGTCCCTAATGGATAGTCAGTTCTAAACCTGTTATTTTCCGGGAAACAAGTAGTTGCTATGGTTGTTGGGAGTGGCGATCCAAAAACAAATGGTCCAGGTCTGAGACCTGCCACTGCCCCTGTGGTCTCTTGATGTCACTGTGACTCTATTTCCTCATCTATAAATTAGGGATAATATTGTAACCTTGCTTACAGGGCTGTAACTATTTTTAAATGGGCTAATCTGTTCTGAGACCAATGTCTTACACCTAACCTATATATGTTCACTAATATCATTATAAATTATTGATATTGTATGTTCAATCAATGTATACTTGCGGCACTTGCACCACCTGGAACCACTATTGGATAAAGGTCTGGAGATTAAAGAACACACAGACACACAGGTCACTCTTGAAACAAGGATGTCAAATTTATTGTGTTCCAGGGCAGCTTAGGGCTCTCCTTGACTAATGGCCATACCTTAGCTCTCGGTATTTTTTCACCTGCAAGCCCACCAGAAACTACTTCCTTGTTATCAGAAACTCATGAGGGTCTCGTGCTCAGAGCAGCTGCAAGCACAGGAAACAAGTTGTTTACTCCAGCGGGCAAGGGGTCATAGAGAGTTCAGGGTCTGAGGGTCTGCGGTCCCCAACATATACTGAATACAATGAGTAAAACAAGGAAAATTCTTCTCGTGCCAATATAGTAATTTTAACAATATTAAGTTACTTTAAATAAACACTTACACTCTGCATATAGTAATTATATTTTCGAGAAAAGGGAAGGAAAAAAATCATCTCTGGGAGATGAGTCACATTCTTAATAGTGTGTGAGTGCCTCATTGGGATAATCAACTCTCTGAGGTAGAAACATGGACCCCGGCTACCCCAGCGTCTCAAACAGTGAAAAGAATACACAAAAAGCACAGCTTCCTGAATGCTTGTGTGAACATGGGACAGAATGCTTACTCAAGAATCTCCTTCCACCATTGACCACATCAAGCTTTGAAATATCTCTCAGCAGCTTCTGCCCCCCATGCCTTGTTTCAACCTCTTTGAACCAACCCATCAAGAGATAGGACCTTCAGTTGGACCAAACCTCACAGGGCCTCTTCCAGCTCCTCCTGCTCAGCCTTCAGAGCCTCTTGTAAGCCTTCATTTTCTCTCGCAATCATGTGACCCCACACAGAAACCTTTTACCACCTACAACCTTCATATTTCATCCAAGTCACTGACATGTTCTGGCCCAAGGCTGAGTCAGGGCACCTAATTAAGGACTGCTTTTGGGTTGAGTACTTTTTGAAATGGGTTTTATATATCAGCACCATTTAACCGAGATACCCTATTGAATTACACTGACTGGGAAAATATTTTTTTCTTTTCCTCATTTAATGAAAATAGACTTTTTCCCCTTACATAGTATATTCTGGTTATGGTTTCCCCTCCCTCTACTTCTACCAGTTCTTCCCCTGACATCCAAATACACCCCCTTTCTGTCTCTTATTTGAAGAAAACAAACAGGCTTCTATGGGATAATAATATATAATAATATAAAACAGAAACTAATACATCGGTATATGACAAAATAAACAGAAACAGACAGATGGGAAAAGGTACAAGAAATAGATAAAGAGGCTGAGACCTATTCATTTGAACTCTAAGAAGTCCCATAAAAATGCTAACCTGGAAACCATAACATATATGCAAAGGGAAAATATACAATAACTCTATTGTGTGTCAAGTTGACACAAGACCAGCCAGCACAACTGAACTCTTGTCAACTTAACAAGCAAACACATTACTATTAAGCCACACCCTTCCTTTCCTATTCATTCATAAGTTCTCATATTAAAAGCATAAATAACTTAAGAATTCCATAGTCCTTACAAATCCAAACACATTAAATTTCAGTGTCTTTAAAATATCCAATCATTCTAAATATTCAACATCTCTCTTAAAAGTTCAGTCTTTAGCTGGAGGCTCCTGTAAAAATTAAAATTAAATTAACGGTCTTCTTCAAGAGGGAAGAATAGGACATAGTCACAATCTAAATCAAGCAAAACCAAACTCCAAGAGTATAAATAACTCAGTTCCCAGTTATCTGGGATTCACGCATGATCTTCTGGACTCCTCTAAGGAGCTCCTTCTCCGGCACTGCCCTCTGAAGCACACACAGATCGTTTTCTATGCTCTGGTTGGCTCCACTTACTGCTCTTGCAGTTCTTAGCAGTCATCCCATGGTACTAGCATCTCCAAAATGCTGGGTTCCTCTGCTGCAACTGAGCTGCACTTTCACCAATAGCTACTCATAGTCTTAACTTCTTTGCATGAGTGGTGTGGAACAATGGTCTATATCCTGTCAATTATATTTTTAAATAAACTCTGATTGGCCAGTAGCCGGGCAGGAAGTATAGGCAGGACAACCAGGAAGTAGAGGTGGATCAAGGAGAACAGGAGAATTCTGGGAAGAAGGAAGTTCCTTCTGCAGTCCTGGCCCAGCTACAGAAGAAGCAAGGTGTAGCTGCCTCACTGTAAAAGATACTGAGCCATGTGGCTAACATAGAAAAGAAATAATGGGTTAATATAAGTTAGAAGAGTTAATAAGAATAAGAAGCTGAGCTAATGGGCCAATCAGCTTATAACTAATATAGACCTCTGTGTGATTATTTGGGGCTTAATGATTGCAGGAACCAGGCTAAACAGAAAAACACAGACAACACATGACCCCTTCAGTTATGGGCCTTCAGTTGCCACTGGGGCTGTGTGGAGGGCCGGACCACATTCTCCATTGCTTCTAGGAACAAAGGTAGAGATTGACCTCTGTGACCCCAAGGTGTGGCGGTACACTCCTTTAGTCCTGATGCCTGGGCAGCAGAGGCAGATTGACCTCTGTGACCTCAAGGCATGGTAGTACACGCCTTTGGTCCCAGTGCCTGGGAAGCAGAGACAGGCAGATCTCTGTGAGTTCAAGGTGATGTAGCACACGCCTTTAATCCCAGTGCATGTGCTTGTTAACTCTCTACCGCTGCGTCCCTGCCTACTCCCGAGGCATCATCTGGGATAATGGGCAGCGGACCAATCCAAGAGTGACACGTCAGAAGCGAGGACTGTTTCCTTTATAAGGGCTGGGTTCCCCTCATTCTGGGTCTCCGCCATGTAAGCTTATGCTCTCCCTCTCAAGACGCATAAAGCTTTACTGCAGAAGAATCCTAAGTGTCCCGCGTCGTTCTTGCGGGCGAGACGGTAGTGCGGGACAGGGCTGCACCTTCACTAATGACTTCTCCTGGCCTCTAACTGTGCCAAACTTCAGCTACTCTCCATAATCCCTTAATGTCTTCAAAACCAATATCACCTGAGTGACTTGTACACTACCAAGATCAGCTGCCAGCACAAAGTATGACCTCAAATGCTTCTGTGTATGCTGACCTTCAGGAAACATTTCCCAGAATATTTCACCTCAGTGATGCTGGTCTCTTCCCAGCCACCACTAGTTTCTTTTTTATTGATTTTATTGAGCTCTACATTTTTCTCTGCTCCATTCCCTGCCTCTCCCCTCCCCTACAACCCCCTCCCACGGTCCCCATGCTCCCAATTTACTCAGGAGATCTTGTCCTTTTCTACTTCCCATGTATATTAGATCCATGTATGTCTCTCTTAGGGTCCTCATTGTTGTCTAGGTTCTCTGGGATTGTGATTTGTTGGCTGATTTTCTTTGCTTTATGTTTAAAAACCACTTATGAGTGAGTAAGTATGATAATTGTCTTTCTAGGTCTGGGTTACCTCA